CCCCCCCCCCCCCCCCCCTTACTTGGTATGGTGCAAGTTGGATTGGAAATTCCAATCCGAAAATTTCCGATTTTGGTGAGCTCAAATGAATTCTGAAATCCGAAAATTCCCAAAAAAAAGGGGATTGAAATTGAAATGTATTTTAAGATTCCGTATTTCGAAATATATTGGGGTTTCAAGCTTAGATCCGAATTCTTTGCTTTGATTTCTCTGCGATGATTTTCTTTACTTTTTTTTTTTCATACACCACCGCATTAAAATTTAATCCAAGGGATATAAAAGTTGACACATCACAACTCTTTTTTTCTCTTTCTTGCTACACGTTTTGTCCTCTTCTCCTTTTGGCTTCACCTTCTTGCTCCACCATCACAAAGCAATAAGCATCACTACGAAAATCCATTGAAAGCAAAACCATCTTTTACAAACCACACGCCATAACAAAACCCAACATAAATTATGAATCTCTCTATTTCGTTCTTCATAGCAAAGGAATAAGAAAAGCCCCAGAAAATGAAAACCCATGAATTTATAAAAGGCTTACCTTTCTAATATTGGTCAGGTACCCATAATTTAATTCCTCCACCAAAAGCAGCAATCTTTATACAAGGAGAGAAAAAGGAGAAGAGGACAGAACATGAAGAAGAAGAATGAAAAAAAAGAGGAACGTGAAGAAGAAAAAAAAAAAACACAGCTTTTGGACGTTAACTATCCCGTTAGTTTGGTTTTTTTTTCTTTTTTAATTAGGAGTAAATTGGTTTTTTGTTTTAGGATGATATGTCAACTTTTAAATCCCTTATATTAACTTTTAATAAGGTGGCATATGGAGAACAAAAGTAAAGCAGATCATGGTAGAGAAAATCAGAGCAGAGGATCCGAATCATCCAAACTTAGATTTGCACATATTAACTAATTTGATTTTCAACTAAATATGACTTAATGACCAAATAAACATAGATGAGTAATTTCATAAAGGATAACAACATCTAAGTAATAACATATAATAATTTTTCAAGCTTTTCGTATGAGTCTTCAATTTTGAGTCAATTTTAAGCTTTCAAATCATTGGTCATGTTTGTCATGTTTAAAATTTTCAACTATTTTCCATAAAAATTCTTAAATATGTAAGTTTCAAAATTTTCCAACAATTTCGAAAATTCCGAGTTTTTCGAATCAAAATGGATGTTGAAATTCTAAAGGTTTTTGGAAAAGAATTGGAAAAAAGTTTTCATTCTGAATTTTTTTGGATTGGAATTGGAATGATTCGGATCCGATCCTTCTGAAAACCAACCCTAGTACCATCAATTACCAAAAGAAAATGGTACAATTACATTAGTTTTTGAAAGTGGTTGACAATACATTTTTTGATTCGGGCTTCTTTAATATTTTTCCATGAAAGATATCATAAATTTTGATTTAAATAGAAGAAATGCTTTTGCTTTGGTTTAAATAAAAGTGTTTTTGATAGGGGCCCTTATGAATAGAAATAAGTCCTATCAAACGATTAAATTTTTTTTTTTAAAAAAAGATTAAAACTAAAAGAGGAGAATGTTTTCCTTTTTACCAAATGCCATGAAAGTTCAAATCTAATCTAATAATGCTATGAAAGTTCAAATTTAAAACAGTATGTGTATGCAAGTGAATGACTTTCTACTGAAATGACTCGGTTGGCATGAATATAATTCGGAAGTGTGCTCTGAATCTCAATAGAATTCAGACAATTAATACATCCTGTCCACAGCTGTCGAAAAGTATAATATCAAAATGAGACGAAGAAGAGAGAGGAGGAATTCATAACCAAAACAGGTGGATCAATATTCACACGCCATCCTCTATACATGGTTATCCGAACCCTTTTACAAAGAAAGAAAGAAAGAAGACCAATTTACAAAAAGAAAGAAACATATAAATAAACAAACTAAAACGAAATCCTAATTAAGACTCTTGTTTTCGTTAGATCTTAATTAAGACTTGGACTGTCTTCCATTATTATTGGACGCATAGGTTGATACAGCCTTGGTCCCCTCCGCCATGGCATGTCTCCCGAGCTCACCAGGCAAAACCAGCTTCACTGCCCCCTGAATCTCCCTAGACGACAAGGTTTTTCTTGCCGTGTACTTGGTCAGCCTCGCTGCCTCATCCGCCAGCCTCTCAAACATGTCGTTCATCAAATTGCTTAGCACTATCATGCCCTTGGACGACACTCCCATGCCAGGGTGCACCTGCTTCAAAACCCTATGCACATATATCTTGTACTCTTCTCCTCCACCTCTCTCTCTCCTCTTCCTCTTCTTCTCACTACTTTTCTTGCCTCCTTTTTGGGTCTTCACCTCGTCACTTTTGTGCTCTTCTTTCTCTTCTTCTCTCTCATCAGAAGTTGTATTGGTTTCCATGGAATCTTCCTTTTCTCCTTCTTGGGTCTTGACCTCTTCACTTTTCTGTTCATCTTCTTTCTCATCAGAAATTATATTGGTTTCCACTGAATCTTCCTGATCTTCTTTCTTTTCTCCTTCTTCTCCTTCTTCTTCTTCTGCTGCCTCTTTCTGATCAGAAGTGAGAGTGGTTTTTGCTTCAGCGTGTTGGCCCTTTAGGATTTGGTTTTCCTCTTCTGTTTGAATGGGGATCCTTCTAGTCTTGAGTGGCTCTGAGATTTCCACGTTTTGGGTTTGATTTTCTTCTTGGGTTTCAATGGAAATAGTCTTGATAGTCTTGACTGGCTCCCGAGTTTGATCACTACTGTCTTCACTCTGCTTCTTCTGCCTTTTGCTTTGAACCACTGATGAGGCTTGAACTGTTTCTCTCACAACTTGCTTGGTGGTCTTCACCACCGTCTTCGTTGAGCGCTTCGGGGCCATTTTTGACAGTAGTGGCCCTATATTTGCGTGCAGTAAAGTTGCCTGTTTCCCTCTCAGAAAATGGATTTGAAAATGGAGATGTTGTTTGGAATATTAACAGAATTAACTTATGTAGTTAAATATCGATATTGAGTAGATAATAACTGTGTTGTGGGGTTTTACCAAATGTTGACAAGTGGCGGACAGGTGTTGAGTGGTTTCTGAACCCAATGGCTACGTGGGGGGTAAAAGTGGTGGTTACATTGTTTTCACTTTTCTTGGAGCTTTCCTGAACATTCCCAAGTTCCCAAATCTTTCTACTGAACTTTCCAGGAGAAGATTCTTGCAGTGGGCCCTCCAACATGAAATATATGGGCTAGGCCTAAAATGCGTCCACTAAATGAAAGACTTTGAGAATGTTGTTGGGCTTCAATGTGTACGTATGCCCAAACTGTTGGGTCCTCGACCCAAATTCTAAACTAAGGCTAGGCATTCAGACCGGCAACCCGGTCAAACTGCCAAAACTAAATCGATGGTTTGGGTTTGTTTGATTTTTTTTCAATTTTTATTGGTCATCGGTTTGAACACAAACCAAACCGAAATATATACTTTGGTGTACGGTTTGCAATATTCAAAATCACAGTTTAACCAAACCAAACCAATAATATTAAAAAAATATTATATACAATATTATTATAAGAAATATATATAATACATAGTTTAAAGAAGTAAAAAATAAATAAAAAACTACCTTTTGTTGTTGGGCATGCCAACACACATGCCTAACTGAATTTTTTTTAAAACCCCCAACACACGCATGCATCTTGTCTTCTCTCTTTTTTTTATTCTTTTTTCTTTTTATTCTCTCTCCATTTCTCCCTTTGTCTTATCTGTTATCTCCATCAGTCCCTCTCTCTCTCTCTCTCTCTCTCTCTCTCTCTCTCTATTTTTTTTTTCTCCTTCTTCTTACGTTTGTCTTCACTCCCTCTCCGCATCTCCCTCTTTTTTTCCCCTCTTCTTATTCTTCTCTC